AAAACACAGTAAATATTTATTAGAGGAATTAGATTTCCATTTAAGCTGGTTATTGTGAGAAATTCTTGACTCTGAGTTCTTGATGCCAGAATACATTGGAATCATTCCTTATGTGATTGCACTAAGCTGTCTGCAGTGTAATTATATTGAAGAGCTATCTCTTTTTAAGTTTGACTGTCTGACGTATATTTGCTTTGCTTGCATAAACAGTTGTTGCGTCTGCCCAGCTTCCCCTCTGTCTCCATCTTTCAGCTCAGTGTTAGCAGTTTGCATTATTCAAACATATCGGAGACTTGGTGTCACTTTCACAGGTGTTGGCTACAAAACCAAAAAATCTGGACTTTTTTTTTCTCTCTAAAATCTCTAGTGTCTCTTACATACAGTATATGTATATTGCATACATCTCTGCACTAGGGCTGTTCGATATAACGATATATATCGGATGACGATATAAAAACGTCTATCGCTTCATTTTATGCTATTGTTTGTTTCGTGGTGTCGCAAAATAAACTGTTTATGACAATATTTTTTCATCGTTTTGATGGTCACTGTAGTGGCTATATTCATTTCTTAAAGTTCTCTCTTTCTCTTATATTTTATATAACCACACTACGGACGGACAAGCGCCTGTTTTTATGCGTTGTGGTTAGCAACAACGACGGTAAAACCATCGCGTGTCCGCTTGTTTATTTTCCATATAAACCTTTCACAATAAAGCTCAAGATCCTGTTGAGACTTTTCAAAATAAACTGAATCACGTGAAAGAGTATGCAGAGTATTTACGGATGAGAAGTAAAAAAGAGCCGTCAGGTGCTAAAAAATAAACCTTAGACTCAAACATTAGAACAGGCTTTTCCCTGCAGCACGCCGTGTAATAAATACTCACAAAGAAAACGGCGGCCGTTACAACTTATGTCTAAAAATGTATCGTTTCATGCATCGGTTAAAACACTCGACTCCAGGTACACGACACCCAGCTGGAAACACTTCACGCAAGTTGAGCTGCCCGAAATTCACAGAAAATGTTAAATTTTTGTGATTTATATCGTTATTGGGACGATGGATGTCTTATATCGGGATATGAGATTTTGGTCATATCGCACAGCCCTACTCTGCACCGAATCATACTTTTTATTAATCTCTGTCTCTCTTCCACAGCATGTCTTTATCCCAACCAATCACAGCGATGGCCCCGCCCCTTCCTGAGCCTGGTTCTGCCAGAGGTTTCTTCCTGTTAAAAAGGAGTTTTTCCTTCCCACTGTCACCAAAGTGCTTGCTCATAAGGGGTCATATGATTGTTGGGTTTTTCTCAGTATGTATTATTGTAGGGTCTACCTAACGCTCCTTTACTGGATCAGCCATTTAGGTTTGACTCCATTAACCTGATAACTTGAACTGCTGTTAAAGAGCGATTCAATTTACTAACTGTGTTACTGGTTAGCTGACTGACAATATATAACTGCATCTCTCTCACTCTTCCACTGACAGTGCAGTCTGCACAAATGTGGATCCGAGGTGTTCCACTGCTACCCCATGGTAGCTCTAAATGAGTTCATATCAAACACTGATATGTAGAGTTCGATAAAATGATGCAGCAGCAGCAGCAAACACATGGACATTTCATTCTCTGAAATGAAAATCATTGTAGAAGAGCTTTCCCATTATAATCCGCCGTAATGCTCTTATTATGAAGGGCAAGCGGGAACGTGATACTTCCGGTCGAACTACGATCGGCAATTAACGATCCTCATAACAAATTGTCCGCTACAAACTCTGTATTATCAAGTAAACAATCACAAGCACCACATACAACATACAGAGAAGCTCTGATAAGACAGGAATGACGTTATGGACATGACAGACCGTACATGCGTCAAGTAAAGCTAAACCAGGATAAGCTAACAAACATAAATTAGCATATGAAAAGGGGATGACCTCCCGCGTTGCACCCCGCTCCAACTGTGAACTAACATTAGCTCCTAAATGGTAAACATAGTACTGTATCAGCATAAACAAAGGCAAAATGCAACACAGGTTAATACTCACTTATCATTCACGCACACATAACATCCCAGAGGAATCAGTGCACCCCCACCGGACCAACACTGCTCATCCGACATTAAACTGCCCACCTTACTAACCGGATGATGTCACCAAACGGTGGGCTGGCCCAAACTGACAGAAGATTGAATATTAAATGACCAGTAGATAAACTTATATAAACTTACTCGGGGTCCGTGAGCAGTGTAGACTATAATTATTATTATTATTATTATTATTTTGTGATGTGTGTGTTTAACCGGTGTGTTCCTGCGTTGTGTCTGATAATAAAAAGTAAAAGAAAGAAAGACCTCCAAGTAAGTAGCTTGCCCACTCCAGCTCCTCTCCCACAGGGGAATTGTAGAAAAGGGCCTGCATTTATTTTTACATTAAACATAAAGTATGAATTTACACGTAACATATTTGACATAAGATTTAAAAAAACAACAACATGAAATCCAACATATCTGATAATAAAAGGTAAAAGAAAGAAAGACCAAGTAAATAGCTTGCCCACTCCAGCTCCTACGACCAAATACAAACAGTGGGGAAGAGGTACTCTGTGGCAGGTCACCAAGCTGACACACTGCTAACAACTTTACAGCACCATTGTTAATATAGCTTTACGGTAGCTTTACGAATATTATGACATGAAACTGTTATCTTTGTGCAGATTTCAAGAAATATATACTTTTCTCCTGTCCAAGATAGCTTTAAATATATCATTTATGCTTGGGAACCAAATTACGATATTTTAGAAATCTCTAGTGGGCAGAGTTAAGATCAAAGACACTGAAGACGTCAAAGACGGAAAAGGATTTAAGTTAAAACCGAGCCCATAAATACCACTCTGTAACAGCGGATTTTCAAACGCTAGCTTTAAGAAAGAGACAACAATTTATCAGCAAACAAATAGATATTAAAATGGGCAATAATTCATCAACCGTCACCAACACACAGTCAGGGACACAGGAGACAGCTCCTGAACCTGAATCCAAGCCCAAGAATCAAAAATGCAAAAAATTGCTTGGGTGCTTGTGTCCGTGCTGTGTGGGTACAGACGACTCTGACACAGAGGACACAAAACGTGTTGTTTCACAACAAAACTTGCAGAATGTGAACAAGATGGTTGTAAATGCCACTGGTGTCACTATTCACACCCAATATAAAACTACTGCCAGTATTAATCAAACACACATCTTAAACAACCTGCAGATCCCCCATTGGGTTTGATGTAGTTTGTGTTAATCCTGGAAAACTAATTGGGACTTTAATTGGACTTTAATTTAATTTAATTGGCTATTCTTAAAATTTAAAACTTCTGAAATCCCTTGGAATGGTAGATGTGGCAGATGGCCGCCCTTCACTTAGCCTGGTTCTGCCGGAAGTTTCTCCCTCTTAAAAGGGAGTTTTTCTTCCCCACTGTCGCCTAGTTCTTCCTAAGAGGGGTTTGCCTGTTGGGTTGTTTTTTTTTTAAATAACTTAAAAAAAAAGTTAACCTCAATAAAAGTTTTTAAATTTTACGCTTATTTCTGTTTGTTTTCATTGTCTGCAAGTTATTTGTTATTCAGTTTAAACTGTGGGTAAAAAATGCTGTGCTGTCATGTGACCTGCTCTCTCATGTGTGTATGTTTCTTGTTTTGCATATATTTCAACCCAGCTACAAGAATTCATACTGATAACTGCAACATGTGGAACAAACGTGGAACAAATCAAACTGTGAACACAGTTGGTCACATCTAAACGCAGGCGCCTCATTGGTCAGTTCTACACGTCTGCGTGTAAAGTGATCTCAGAGCAGCAAGCTCTGCACCAGCTCTCAGACACCTCCAAAAACCCAGTGTTTTATTTTGTGCAACTACTTCCGGTAGTTGCACAAAATGCAACTAACGGAAGTAGTTGCACAAAATGACAGCAGTTGAAATTACTGCAGCCATGTGCAATAAATTTGCACTGTTGTTGCCTACTAAATAGTCATTTTAAAGAAGGGCTTGCTCCACCTCCTTGAGACAGCCTTCTCTTACTTGTAATTACTTGTAATCTGTTTACAATATTGTGGTAATTAACTGTGATAAATCTGTGAAAAATCACAAATCTTTTCCAGGATAAAATAGATCTGAAACAGAAATTTAGGAATTCCTCCACAAATGGTGACAGAGTTGCTGCAAGATGCCGAGTTTAACTTCAAATTTATATGAAAATGACTCAGGCGCTTAGCAACCCTTCTTATATATATACGAATTTAACCATGTGGTACCAGCCGAGTTGAATTCTGCTATTAAAAAGAGATGTATCGCGGGTGAGTTGAGATCATTGGTTCAAAGTGACTGATTGGAACAACTCAGTGCAGCCACTGGGCAACCAGTGACTTTTCCCAGTTGCAGGAAGGTTGCAATCATGTTTTTACTGTAGTGTGAGTGAGCTAGTAGGTAAACCTGACAGAGATGGAAATTTATTTAGTTGAAGTGCTACTTTGTTAGGTTAGCTGTTGCTCCTGCTCCCAAGCCTTGTTATAAGTTACTATTTCACACTAGCCAGACTCACCTCTCATTTATACTTAACAGATACTCGAGACTTAGCTCTCTAAAGAAACCAGAGGAGCTTATTTTTTCAAAAAGCATATTCTTTTAGAGGGACTGAAAGCTGGAATTGTATGTTTTATGTCCTTCCAAACGATCATGGTTTTAAAGCAGAGCTTCTTTTTTTTTGTAAAAAATAACTTTTCCCTATAATTTCCAAATTGTAAAAATTGAGCTTGAGTTTGATCCCGCAGCCTTTGCTGTGTGTGCTCCTGCTCTGTCGCCCTCTCTTTCCTCCTGAACTGTTGACTAAAGGCGACAAGCCTCAGAACAAATCTTGCCATGTAACAAGTAAACTGAACTGCCATTGTCTAAGAATCACAGATGCGCACACACACACACACAAACACAACACAAAATAAAGAGATGTCAGACTTGTTGTCCTCACCAGAGTTTGTTCAGAATCAAGAACAAAATCTTTTTTAGTTTATTCATGACTTCCTGCTTCAGACTGTACCTCTGCAAATTATTACATACTTTTTTACTATCAGTAACTGATGTGAACAGAAAACATCAAAGAAATGTCAAGACATACATACATTCATCTTGCTTCACCTGGACAAATTTAGAGGTTATGAAGTTCTAGTTTGATAACATTTGAAAGAAGCAGGCCATGAAGTAACTGAAGTCTGTTCGTACATTTGAAAAGCGAAGGAGGGCTTGAACATTTCTTGAGGTTAGCAACAGACAGGGCAGGATACCAAGACAATGATTTCCTTCCTGCCCTTTTTTTCTGGACACCGTCTGTGCTTTAGTTCACAAACAGCCTCAGTAGCCAGGTATTTTTCCAAGAAGCTTTCGATCCATTAGGGAAGACCAATTAGTTGCTACTTAAATCAGACCAAACATTTGGAACCACTTTTCAAATACATCACACAGAAACCTTTGATATTACAGCTTTGTAAGCTAACATGTTTCATGATCTGAAGACTGATGGGCACAAATAAAAAAAGAGTAGACTACTGATTAAAGTCTCACAACTGTACATGGAAGAAACAACATTGTTAAGAAACTAGGAAGCATTTTTCTGCCTTGCTGGAAGTTCTCAAATAGGATGGCGGTTACACTTCCTTAATAAGTTAGTGTTTGAATTATGAAAGGTCAGGAAATCAGTGAGCAATAAACACATCCTGTTGCTGTTGCATAGCTGGATGGCTGGAAGATCCAAATTTGTATTTTCTTCTACATGTTGAGAACCATTTCTGAGCATACAGGATAGGCCTGTCTGCTCTGCTAAACTAGTAAAAAAAAAGTTTTTATTTGACTGGTATGATCACAGTTTTTGGATTGCTACAATATATCAAAGTGATACAGTTAAACTCATCTTGACCTTTAAGGATTCAATCCCTGACAACAGGACAATGTAACCGCTGCTGTTCCATCTTTTCTCATTTCGCTTCTGTGAATGACTGAGCGTACAGAATCTCCATGGTGACAAAACCATCATTCAATTTCAAAACCCACAAAAATTTGTAATAATTTGAGTACCTCTAGTTAAAGTTAATGTAGCCATGAGGAAGCTGTGTGCTTTAAAAATAATAAATTGGGCTGTAGCATTTAGCTACTACTGGCTAAGTCACAACAATTACCCTATCACTGACGTTAACCTCATTTAGACATTTTTTAAATATATTTTACATTTGCTTTCTTGTCATGACTCGTTTGAAATGTTGTTTGTGCGTTAAAAGTTAAAGCTAGCAACAGGTCATCTTAGATTTGAATAAAAGTAAATAGTGGGAATAAATTAATCAGGGACTGCTCAATTTATTGTTAAAATGTGTGTTTAACACAAAGTGTGAGGCATATCAGGAGGGGGGGGGGAGGGGGCTTGTGTACTGCTAAGCTAACTGTTAACTTTATAAATAGCCGATTGCGAGAGGAAATTGTCTGGTTTCACTGAACACTCAGCAAGAAAGCCAAAATATACATTTGCCAAAGTATGTAAAGAAAATAGAAACATAGCCCACATTAGTGGTTATTGCTAGTTGGTTGGTTTTTGTATGGACAGACAAGAAATGTTGGTATTACGTCACACTAAGTTCTACTAGATGCCAAAAATCAGCCGTGGAGCCAGTGGTTGGTTTGCAGAGCTTTTGACCTCCAGCTACCATCAGTGGGGCAGCCTGCTGAAGAGGCTAAGTGACCAAAAACACCAACAGAGATTTGCCCTACTCAGTGTACCGTCCCAAGGTAATGCTACAAACTGCCTTGGCCAGTCTTCTTTGTTCTTTGTATGGGAATAAATTAGCACAGTGCATAGCGTTATTTCAAGTTAAATGCACCAGCTGTTGAAGGTTTTACTGCGAAGTGAAACTTCAGTTTTCAGGGTGATATTTGCAACAACATATGCTATGTTATCAAGAGAGACCCAGGTTATTGCACAACACATCACCATAGTTGCCACTGCGTTTAAGTAAAAATGGAAGAATTCAAAGTTAAGGCACTAAAACTGCTGCCAGAATGAGAGACCGTTCAGAGATATCAAACCAAAGTCTATGTTTCTGTGATTTTTGTTTTAATGTTTTTTAAAGAACTGGCTCCTCGTGCTGTTTTAGAATATGTGGCAAATTTCCCTTAAATATTCCAGATTGATTAATGTGAAAAGGTTCAAGCATGACACCTTCACACAAATGCATGATTATATGATGACTATTCCCTTTCCTGTCCAGTTTGAGCTATCATTTTTATTAGTAGTTACCATTCATAACAGAGGGTCAGTCATATAACATGACTATATGTTATATCTGTTTGTATAAATATCTGTTCAGGCAGTCTTCTGTAAGAATTAAACATAACATATTACAATGCCAGACACAATACACGGCCAATTATTGCTGTTTGACTCTGTCACATTGCAAGTGTATCAACGCCTTATCGACAAATTATTTATCAGCCACGTTGTATTAGCCTCATGACAGGGCTTAGGCCTTCCCAGTGCTCTCACACATGAAACGCAGAAACATCGGTGAGTGAAGAAAATCATCAAATACAACTAACGTAAAAACATGTAGAAATCAAAACACACGTATAGAAAACAAAAGAACCTAAAGGCAAAGCTCAACAGTCTCCGGCGTTTGTCAGAGACCGGCTTTTGCCGTGTAAAAACAGTCGCGTCACAGACATCAGCAAGGCCTCGATGTTCGTTTGTTTTTCAAACAACTTTTTTTCTCAAAAATATGATGGCGGGTTTCCAGACAAGCTTTTTGCTTTGTTGGGTTTTTTTTATGCTGCTGTGAATTTATTATTTGGAAGCAACAACTTTCCATTAAAACTGGTTTAAATGGTATACAACTGGATCCACACCATCGTCTTTGTGTGCGGATGGAAGGCACCGGCCTTTACAAAAAACATCAGTTGTGTTTTGTTTTGTTGCGTCACCCTTTACCAAAGAAAAAACTAATTAAAAAAAAAAACAAAAACAGAGAACTTTGCTTTTTTCTGCCTGCAATGTTCGTTTCCCTTATTTGATGTAAAAGTGCAAATAAATACTGAATAAATACATTTAGCAGATAATGGCATCAAACTCCAAATATTGTTGGTAGTGAGTCCATGATGCTGAATGATGCTTCTCACAGCACGAGGATCCAAATATGTTCAAGTCAACACACATAATCAATGTGGATCACCAGCCATCATCTAGAAAAAGGTTTGGTTTGAGGGCGTGCCAGCTTCATGTTGGTGCCACATTTTGATTGTAAAAGCTGCGTAAAGGTGGAGTTTTAAAAAATTTAATTTAAAAAGAAAAAAAAAAGAGGAGGACTTTGGAACGTGAGCAGCTCTCTTTTTGTGAAATGTAAACAACGTCACTGCATGCATAAATAAAAACTATGAATAAATAACGGAAATCAATGTCAAAACATACAAAAAAAATGAATAAAACAAGAACAAAAAGCTTTTAAAGCACACCAACGTAAAAGCTGATTCTCTTGTTATTCGTTTGAATGAGAGAGGAAGAAGGGAGGAGCCATGAAGGAAAGACGGAAGAGCTGATGGACTAATTACTGCAAGATACACTAAAGGTGGTAAGAGAGTAGATGAAGTAAACAGAGTATATTATGTAGGGAGAGTACATTTTTCATATTCATACTAAGGTTTTATCTTTCTTCATTTGTACACTTAAAGACAAACATGGTCGGTTAAATGACTCGCCATGTCCAGCTATGATTTGATTTGCAGGCTGTTTCGTTGGGAGGATCATTTGTCTTTGCTCTGTAGGCGATGTTCAGACAGGAAGCACATATATGACACTCGTATTGGGTTTTTCTGACAAATCTTTTTAGAAGACGCTCTGACCAAACTGCAAAGTGTGGCAAAAGGAAGAGCAGAGAACTGCAAACATGGCAGACAGACAGAAAGGTGAGAGTAGCAATCTGGGCAGATTAAGAGATCGCAGCACAGCAGCTTTTTCTTATACACAAAAAAAACAAACCAAAAAAGTACACCTAGCATGTGCATATGATCAACGAAATACAGTAATGTAACAGCGTGACGACTGATGGTTTTAAACAGACAATTGTGATGCCAGACTCCCCGATCTGTCTGAACACAGCTCGAGTTTGTGGGTCTGCCAGGACTGCTGCTCTGTGAAAGTGATGACGGAAGGCGTCTGTTATTCATTCAGATCCACGTTATCTCAACTGTTGCTTAGTTAAAGTTTGCTGTTGATGCTTGGATGACATCGGCAGGGAACGGGGAAGGTGCGACGCCATCAGCGTCAGTTCTTTGTGCATCAAAAAGGAAGAACAGCAGGTCAACTGCTGCTTTAGGGTCAGCCGCGCGCGTCACCGGCTCCTGTTCTGCGACATGAAGAGCAGCACCTTGCGGATGCCGCTGAGACGGTTTCTCAGAGACGTGAGGGCGAGGAACGGTAGCTGAGCTCGGCCCTCTAAAGGAAGAACTGCTAGTAACCACCAACACCACGAGGGACCGTTAGGGCTGGCCTGCAAGCAAAATACACACAAGTGAGATGGTTTTAAAGGGCAAAATGAAGTAGAAGAAAAATTTGGATACTTTAGTCCCACTATATAAAAATAGAAGCTATAAAAGAAACAGACTGTGTGTACCTGAAGTTCAGAGTCTTTGTCAGGCATTGGTCCGAAGTGGCCTTCAATGCGAGCTTTCTGCTCAGCTTTCAGAGAGTTGACCCAATACACGGCCTGCTCGTACACCACGTCATGCAGACACTGCAGCTCGCGCTCTGCTACGCCCTCCACCTGCGGACAACAACACCTCTGAGCTTTAACATCTTAGCAACAGCTCACCATCCTTCTCTAAATAACTCTCCAGGTGGAAAACTTCACCTTTGCTGCATACATCTATAGACTAGTTCTTACAACCATAAAATCTTTTGAAAACAGATGCAAAGCTTGACTTGTGCTTCTGGCTGAGTAACGGAGGGACACTGCATGCTTGAAAAATCCCAAAGTAGCCACAGCATACTGTATCCTGCTTTATCATCTCTTTTTTCTTCTAAATGAAACTATATTTTAATAAATGAGCATCACACTGGATTAAACAAGACTTGAAACTTGCAACTGGGGCTCTGAAATAATCGGAAAATGTTTACTCGGGTTATAAATCAATTATGAAATTGGCTTTTCTTTTTCAGTTGGTGTTGGTTTTGGGTTGCCCCCTGCTGGCCATTAGAAAGAATGCTAGTTTCAGACACTTGTGCATCAACTTGATTTCAGACCAGGATGTTAATAACACCTTATAAAGTCTAAGCTCATCCTGTCATCTCTCACTCTCCCAGCCCACAACCCCCACCACCTCATACCTTAACATCTTCCAGGTACTCTATGTCAGCTGTGTTGTAGCCATCCCTCTCGCTGTGCTGAATTACTTTAAACCTCCGTTTGCCTATCGTGTCCACAACCGAGCGGCCGTCGGAGAAGAACTTGACATCGCGGATCTCCAGTAGGCACCCGTAGTCGGCAAACCTGGAGGCCGAAGGAGAAAGCACAGGTAGCAAGTTAACATTATGTGCATTCATAGTCCGACACCAACCCCACACAGCTGCAGTCAAAGTACTAACCCTTTGAGGTCATCTCCCAGACACATGCCAAAGCAGTTGGTACCCGTCTCCATGCATCGGCGAATCATCAGTCTGTAGCAGGGCTCGAAGATATGGAGAGGGCATGGCACAGTAGGGAAGGCCATGGTGCACACGAATATAGGCACATTCTTGTTAAGACTAAGGGGAGACACAGGAAAAAAAAAAAAAGTCTTTTATTTTCATTAAGGAGGAGATATCGTGTAAAAAAAAAACAAAAAAAACAAAAACAAAACAACTTTCAATTAAAAATTCAACATGAATGAAAATCTTTTGTAAAAAAAACAACAAAAAAAAGTTAACTTAAACTCCAGGTGAACTTTAGGCCAAATGTAAAAGACACTGGTTAACGTGAGAGTGAATTAATTTATGCATCGGCCGTCAGGAAAGTGACACTTGAAGCCTGAATGACCAACACTCAGAGATCACTGTGTCGGACACGTGTGCCGTCAGTTGTAGGTCAGTAGGTCAAACAGCCGAGGATATTCTCAAAATGTTAATGTCACACGTAAACTGCGATCCATCAAAAGACTTGCTGGGAGAAAGAAATATAAGCAGAGCCTGATAATAAGACAGTGGAGAAGAGCGGGAAATATGAACTTACTTGGAGAGCTCAGCCATTTCCTCCAGGTGGATTTTCTGTCTTTCCATGAGCTCAGAGGGAAGATACTTCGATATCAGGTTCTCAGTTATTACCGTCTTACAGTATTTCCTCTGGACCAGATACTGGAGACAGACACAATGAATATGTTAACAGCAGCAGAATGACACAATAAGGATGTCTCCTGTGGTTGTTGTCCCACAACCTTGTTAGTCTGACTGGTTTCAAGGGATCCACAAATCAAATATGCTCAAAGCCCTGACAATGACATTATTACTGGAGCATAAGAAATGAACCAAACTATATAAAACATGGTTTCTACAACAATATTATAAACACTCAACATTCATTAATATGCTAGGTTACCAACTCTGTATCTATAACAACTCTGGAATCCACCTTAGATCAGTAGCTTACAATAACTCCCAAAGACTTTTGGGATAAGTTGACACCACCTTCCCCAACATCAAATATCCTTAGCAGAACTTGTTTTAGACAAGATCTCGAGCTACTTTCAGCTTTAGCCTGGCCCCTCTGGCCAACACCAGTAGGCGGTAGGGTAAAGTGTCTTGCCCAAGGACACAACGACCAGGACAGAGCCCAGGGATCGAACCGGTGACCTTCCGGTTACAGATACGCTTCCCAACCCCCTGAGCCACAGTCGCCCTTATTCATTTACTTTAAATTCTTCACAAAACCTTTTCAGAGCTCATAAATTCTCTATAATTTCACTGTTTTTTCTCTTTATATTAGGTAATGTATCTTTCCACACAGCACCTTGCTACTGCAGAGGAATAATTATACCCCTGGTTGGTAATCATTGCTTAGGCCTTATTGAATGTGGACGGTCAGTCTGAAAAGTTTATTGAATTCCCATGCCACCTACCTCAGACATATCCTCTTTACAAAGGGGACACTTTGGGTTATGGTCCAGACATCTCTCCAAACACTGAAGACAGAAAGTGTGCCCACACGGTGTTGTCACTGGTTCATAGAACAGTCTAGATGGGAAACACACAAACAGTGAAAAACCACGGACAAACAAGGGTAAGCTACACTACAACAGCAATAAAATGCCTTATTTAAAGCGTAAGATTCAGTGTGTTTGCATTCTGGCCCTACACAGCCTGCTTGTCCAGTGTCAGTTGCGTAAACCTAGCTGTAAATCAAACCGCTCTCACCTCATACAAAGAGGACACTCCAGATCTGCGGGGTCAAAGAGGTCGTCATCCACAGAGCTCAAATATTCCGGCTCCTCGTTTGGCTCTAAATGTAGAGGTAATCAACAATAAATACAATGCTGAAGTTGCTAATAGTATATGACAGCGTATGATTGTGCAAAGCTGTATAATCACCAGATTTGGATCTCTTGTGATCGTTGTTCTTCCCCTGAAGTTCCACCTTTGCCTCCTCTTCTGAAATCCTTCGTTTCCGTTTGGTAAGAAAGCACTGGTCAAACCTCCCGACCTCTGTCCTCCCCTGACATTTGCTTTGATTCTCCTTTGGTGACCTCTCTGGTGCAGAGAGAGTCGAGGTAAGATAAGACTCTGGAGACAGTGATCCGGGACTAAGGGTCTGAGGATGGAGAGTAAAGATGCAGAGAAGAAGAAAATAAATTAAAGAGAAACTTCATGTGGACTTGATTTGGATTGGCTGACTTCCAGACGTGGAACATCTCTTACATGGAAGGGAGCACTGATGCTGTTTTTGATGTGTGCTCTGGAAGACAGTATATTGGTGTAGTCAGAGATGTGTTCAGGGACCTGATCTCTGACTGGAGCCAGCAGATCACTCAGGATCTGAAAGAGGAAAATAAGCCATTGTGTCATTATTTTGATGACACTGCAAATACACACTTAATGTTTTCCCTTAAAACATTAAATGATTTGTTGTATTTAATGTGCAGTAGGGCAGGTCACAAGATAACAGTGGTCATATTTACCTTGTAAGCCTCAGTCTTAGCAAGTTTACAGTCAGGCTCTATGGACAGACACACTAGGTACTCTCTTAGAGCCTCCTCACTCCTGCCCAATGACACCAGGGCCTGACCCTTGCGAACGTGACCCTGTACACAAAAGAAACATGCAGCATGTTGCAGCTTATTCACTTTGCTACTACACTAGGGCAAGTGTTTAATATAATGAACTAAAAGCTACAGTTTCTCTGCTGTACCTTGGACCAGTGAGGCATCAGTCTACAGGCCATCTCAGCGTCCATCAGAGCCTTTTCGTGTCGTTTCAGGCTCGAGTGGATCTGGGAGCGGTTACTAAACAGTATGTGGTCTGTTGGTGCTGGAGAGAAGAACCAGAGCAACCGTTAGTTGTAAAATTTTAGAAATGGCGCTACGTGTTTTCCACTTATATTTTTCCATCTTCTAATAAAATATTTTTTTTAAACTTTAAAAGAAAAGGAAACGTTTCCAGAGCCCAGAGTTATGAATTTAAATGGCCTTTCTGTTCAACCAGCAATTAAAAACAGTAATGATTATTTGACAGTTATATGGAGGAGCAATCATTTAAGGAACAGACTACTGACCAGTTATACAATAATTTAAATAATTCTTCTGACAAGAACTCTATATATTCTAGTTTTAGCTTCTAAAATAATAAAATTAATTCTTTTAATCTCTTCTTTTAAAACCAACAGCCCGACCGATAGATTATTCTTAATACCCATATCTATATTTGGCAGTTTAAAAATCAGATATTCCGATACATCAGCCGATATTTTTTCCATTCAGACACACAAAACATAAACAAAAACATGTTAACATGACAATATAACACACACAAACATCTTCAGACTGCTTGTTGACTGATATCAATTTACACTGAGGTGACACATACCGCATATATGAGCAGCCAGCATGCTTAATAAATAATAATAATAAATAATTAACTGTTTATTAATATACCCTTGTTCCCTGTAAGATCTGAGCCTAGTATAGAATACAAATAAATAACGACCACTATATTTTCCCTTTTCAAATGTCTTAAACAGTATCCGCTGGCATGTTATAACACTGAGTGAATGTTTAAAATGGGTTCGTTTCGACATTACAAAACATGTTAAGAAAAAAAAATGACTGCCTTATAAAACCATGCAGTACTATCAAGGTCACCCACATTGTAGGTTTCATAACGTGAAAAACTTATGCAAATACCACTGATAGCCTTATGGGAACCGGAAGGAGATATTTCCCTGGCTTCGCTACGGGCACAGGCAGCAAATCACTCAAAGAAACCAACACAGGAGCCCCAAACATGACAGAACGAGCCAAAGTAGGGCCTGTAACTGCACAGGCGTCAGGCACAACACAAGCATCACAGAAGGAAGATTGATTAGCACTGTGGTTAACTGCAGGCAGCCTTGCTGAACATAGATGCATACACACAAAGATACATATCACACAGACCTGCTCTAATTATAACTCTTTAGACTGGCATTCACTCTTTGGAGACCATCTCCAGGCTTAACTGCAGCATGCCTAAATGCAACTTTGGGCCTGATCTTCACCTCGAGCCAACATTACTCTGAAAGCATAACCCTTAAAAAAAAAAAAAAAAAAAAAGGGAGGTCAGTCCTTTGGACTCCTTTTTTAAAAAAACAACAAAAACAAAAAAACCAGTGCTTGAAAACTTTGACCCCCACCACGGAGGATTTTGGCCTTCCACCCAAAAGGAATATTCTTCTATTTTTTTTTAAGAGGTGGGGTTTAATTTTGACAGAAAGCCAAAAATAACAACAGGAAAATGCACAGAAGTCATCCAGGATCCAGGAAAACCCAGCATACATCCATCTGTCTATGAATAAGGTGATGTGGAACTCAGTTTCTGCAACTGTGAAAACCTTTGTTAATTGTGATCTGTCAGAACACCTTTAGGAAAACATGTTAGAACCACGTTGAATCATCAAAAAGCCCAGTTGACAACTGTGGGTGCTCTCCAGCTAAACTCCTGCTTTGAGATAAATGTGGGAACCCAGTAGTCAGAAATGTTCGGTCCTTATGCAACGTAAAAATACTCTGCCTGTCAGCTGTCAGATAGTCAGCAATGGAAAATATGGCACACTTTTTAAAGGAGAAACACGTAGCTCCAAACTTACACAACTAGCCTATTAAGTGACCGAGCTACAGCTGCACACTGCTGTAAAGTCTAATGAGGACAGGCTAAGGATCCAAGACGCAGAGGGCTGTAGTTTGATCTCTGTGTTAATCACTACATTTAACTGATGAAATAGGAAAACAACGAAGGGCCATATGGCTCTTTAAATGCTACTTAAATTAATGCATGTCAGCAAAATGTTAAATTGGGGATTGCCCCTAGCTCACTGCCAGTGATTCCTGTCTGAAGGTCACAGTTCACCTATGTTATCACCATCCAAGCTCTTCCCAATTAAAAACAAAACAAAACACAAAAACAGAAACTGAGCGCTGGTGTGCCCAGCGGTGACCTGCAATAATACCCTTGACCTACATTTGCCTGAGCCATTGTTTGACGTTACACAATGAGGGAGCGGGGGGGGGGGGGGGGGGGTTACGTGCTTACGCAATGTTTGGTCCACTGGCCCAGCCCACATTACCCTGTTATCCAACACATGGCGATGTGACTCTTAGATGCCAGCAGAGAGGTGGCTAGCTACTGTGTCACCGCCACGATTATGACTAATAAATGTGGAACAGCTCGACCTTGTTATTTTACTGTACTTTTCACATAAACACACCTTATATGCTGTTATGGAATAATAGGAAAGTTACAGAAGTAGGCTACAGCAGCTCTGTCACACACACACACACACACACACACACACCCTTTCTTTTTGCTTCTTAGTAATAATAAGAATAAGAAGCAGCAGCTCGGTGTCTTACCTGCGAGTATTGCTTGGTTATACTTCTCCAGGGCAGCTTCCATCTTTTTCTCGGCGTACAGTGCGTTGCCCTCCCGCCTCAGCTGGCCGGCCTGGTACTGGGTGGGGAACCACTTGGCCAGCAGGTTGCTGAGGACCACATTCACCCTGAGACCTAGGCTGTCGCTCACTGCTGAGACATTCTTACACTCCTTACACACCACCGGTCGCTCTTTCTCTTTCCTCTCCCTCTCCAGACACTTTTTACAAAAGCAGTGACCGCACGTCAGAGTCACCGGCTCGAACAGAAAGCTCAGGCATATCCGGCAGGAGAAGTCTTCATACCCGCAACCTGTGGCACCCGCTCTCGGGCATACAGTCGCACCTGCCTCCTTTGCCCTACACGGGTTGCCCCGTTGCCTCTCACCCTCGTCTTGCCTCCGTATAGTACCCGACAGGTACTCTATGAGGTTGGCCAGGTGAGTGGGTCTCAGCCTCTCTATCTCCGAGGCTTGCCGGTACACATCAAACGCTTCCGTGAATTTCCCCCCGAACGCGAGCGCGTCAGCCCGCTTCACCATCAGCTCCCGCCGGCTCTGCGGATCTCCGAGACACGCCAGCTGGCACTCGTAGATGTCCGCGGCCAGGTCGAAGTTTTTCGACTTGAAAGCCTCTGCTGCGAGATGCAGCATGCTCTCACTCTCCGTCCCCATACAGAGCAGGCTGTCCGAAGCGTATCAGCTCATCTACGTGGTGCATGTCTGCACCCCAGCTGCTGCCATTCACGTCCGTCCCCTCCGCTGCAAACGACTGACAACTCTGCACGTTCATGCCCTAGTCCAGGAAGGACCGATATTATTCTCAATGGACCATGGCGAGGAGGTGAAAAAAAAACTGTTATGTAAAAGTTGTGTCACGTGACGCCGGCCAGCTGTTCTCATTGGACGAGTTTGGAAAACTGTTACAAAACAATCTGCCATGTAACAGTTTCAGTGTCGGGGCCATGGGGCGGGATGTCTGACCTGCATGCTGGTTTCTTGTAAACAGTGACCAGGGTTCCCAAAGAATGACACCATTTAGTGGGACGACATGTAATCGATCTCAATTGACCAAGAGTATGAAAATTTGTTGCAGTGTCACAGATTTGACATGGTTCAGCATGTATTTTAGTGTGTCTCATACTATCTCATACTAGTGACAATCTGAAAAGAGAGCATGTCAGGCTGTTTTTAAAATGTGCTTTAATTTATTCAAGTTTTCAGTAACATTTTCTTATAGAAAAGATTTCTTCATTTAGGCATTCCAAAGTAAATAACCCATGTGTGCGGAATTTTATAGAACATTACTTCCTGTTCCAGTTGAGCTTACACAAGAAACTGTCAAATGCATGCCCTGCTAACAGCTGTTGTCAGCATCTTGTTATGTGTCTAACAAAACTGAGTTACATAAATATTCTTTTATTTAACTTCTGGGCAAAAAAAAAGAAAAAAGAAATTCACATATTCCTTTTTTTCCCATTACAAAAATAAAGGAAAAACAAAATCCAAAATATTAAAAAAGAGAACAAAAGAAAACACAATATCTTAGCCATCACCTCCTTACTGCGTGATTTTAGTGGCTGTAATTACCCATCCCACACACCGCCACCATAAAACAGATAAGATATGGAGGTTTCCCACGTGTTACCAGCTTCAAGGTAACCATTGGTCATGGAATCGTAACTAAAAGGTACTGACCTCCATATTTTGCAAGAAATGCAGACGGTGAATGTATTTTTTGTGGAGGAAGGTAGGATTTTTCTTTGTAAATTTGATGTAAATGATCAAAACTGGTCTTAACAACTGTGGTCGGTTGTATTTCGAATGTAAAAGCCATTTAAAAAAAAACTACCAACACCGAGGAGCAATAAGAAACAAGGGGGGCAGGGACATCCATTAACCAGTCCAGATGAGGGACAATTTCCAGATACAATCATTTTGGTCTTGTTGACATTAAGGGGGGAAAATTTAGTGTTAACCAGTGTTTGCTATCTTATAGACAATCAAACAGAAGCGTCACTGGGATAGAGGCATCAAATCTAATAGGGAAATATATTTGGATGTCATCAGCAAAACAGTGAAAGGGAATATTGTGTTTCCTGAAAATTGATTCTAGAAGCAGCATAACATCAGAACCACCTGCCTGTTCTTGTGCCGGTCCCCCTTTTCTGCCAAAACAGCCCTGATCCATTGAAACATGGACTCCACTTGGTCCCTGAAACTGTGCCGTGGTATCTGGCATCAAAATGTCATCCACAGATCTTTTTAGTCCTATAAGCTGCGAGGTGGGGACTCAATGAATCAGACTTGTTTGTCCAGTACATCCCACAGATGCTCAATTAGACTACGATCCTGGGAATTTGGAGACTGCGTCAAAACCCCAAACACATTGTTGTGCTCCTCAAAGCATTCCTGAACCATTTCTGTTTTGTGGCAGGACACATTATCTTGCTGAAAGAGACCACAGCCATCAGGAAATCCTGCTTGCATGGTCTTTAGAAATGACATGTACAACCTTATGTAAGTTGTACGTGTGAAATTTACAGCCACATTGATGGAAGGGCCGAGGTTTCCCAGCAGAACATTGCCCATTGTCCAGTTCTGATGCTCAAGTCCCCATTGTTGGTGGATAGGGGTCAGTATGGGATCCTTGAATGGTCTGTGGCTATGCAACCCCATACCCACTGTGTATTCTGACATCTTTCTGTCAGAACCAGCATCAACGTTTTCAGCAATTTGAGCTACAGTAGAATGTCCACATGGGCATCTGTGAGCTTTGGCATTCCATGACCCTGTCGCTGGTTCACCTGTTTCGATAAATACTGACTGCTGCAGAATGACAGCTGCAGTTTTGGAGATGGTCTGACCCCACTGGACACTGTTACCACAGATTTGCATTGAAGGCCCTGTCACTTTATACTAAGTTGTAATTCCATCTCCTCTTCTAATTTTTCTTATCTTACCGGTAAACTTGATAATGCTCCATACAGATTGGAAATTGGATCCCTACTGTGACCTCTGACCTGAATCTTTATTAAGCACCTTTAGATAGGTGTACCCACATATTTAGACGCGAATTTAGAATGTTTTTATTCCCTAACACGTGGTATTTGTATAATATTTAATTGTAAAATCAAGATATCCATGACTTCTGTCACTGATCTGGAGGAGTTGGAGTAATTTTATCTAAACACAGAGTTCTGACAGAAGGCAGTCTGAGAAATATGTATCCTCTACATGTCCAACACACGGATCTCAGGGAGACTGGGAAATGAATGCTTTTGCTGAGAAGCACTTTGACTATGTGAGTGGACTCTGTTGGCTGGCACAGATGTGAAGCTCACAGCACAATAATTACTGCGGGGAAACCGCTCGGCTCTGACATTGGATGACAAAGCTGTTAATTATTATTACAACCCCGTCACATCCTGTCATTGATCCTCAGATGGTGACACAAGGCGTAAAAGAGCAGATGTTAAGATATCAAACTGTGACACGGCCAAGATGGGTTGCTTTGATAACTGTGACAGCTCGCCAAAGCTTTGAAGATTAGCCAGAGATTGTTGCATAAAAGTGTTTGCACAAGGACAAAAACAAGGCTCAGTAGCACCTTAAAGTGTTTTTGTACTGATGCACATTATTAAAATGACATGTTAGCAGATAATATTCTACTACGGTATAGGTCTGAAGAGTATGGCAGGTTCTTTGTGACTGCAGGTGTGTAGTATTATATCAGCTCACTCTTAATGACAGACTACATAACTTCTGATGGAGGAATAAAAGACACCTTTGGTTATTTCGGTCTACTAAGGGGCATTTGTCATCATCCTCTAATTATGACTTCTGGCCAGTGTGGGTGGTGTTCAGAGTTAACCATAATTAGAAGTAGGTTAAGGCTTGAATTTAAGGACTGTAGTTAAGGGATTGCCTTCTGCATGTTTTTGGATACAAGCCTACGTGGTATTATTAGCCTCACCTGAAGCCTATCAGCCGTATTTCCTGTAGGGTTGAAATAAAACTTGTGTGCTAAAGGCGTTTAGAGTGTGTGTGAGCAGGGATTAGCGGCGAGCGAGCCAGTCGGTGTCGATCTCAGTAGGTCGGCCAGTCTGGCCTGTGAACTCAATCCCGCACACAGACAGAAACGCAGACTGACGTGAGCCTGCACACCGCAGCAGACACAGACACGCTGACACACATGCAGAAACAGACGTTCTGACATATATGCAAACCAGGACACGGGCAGAATATTATGCAAGCACGTGGCCATATGCTTACTTTGCCCGGACACACACACACACAATCACACACAGTAGTGGGAGATTCTCTTGCTCCTTCTCACCTTGAACTGTCATTGGGTGCCTCTAAATAGGCCAATAGTCAACCCCAGTGCAGACCGTCTGGACGTTGGATAGCCTGCTCATTTAGGACACACAGTTATCCTCAAAGTCACCTCTTCAGACTTTTAAACAACGTCTTGCTCGGATAGAGAGATAGCTGGATATTTGCATGATGGCTGCCAAGTCTGCACTTTGAGAGTTTCTAAAAGAGTCACTGTTCATTTGTTGACAGTGAAAATATATTATGAGGTATTGGATCATTTGGGAAAGAATGCATAAACACAGACTAATGAGACTGTAGGCATGAGAGGACCACTTGTAGCAAACGTCTTTAATCTGATTTGATCTTGGAAATGTGAAGTTGAGGTACTGGATGTACTGAGACTTGTGACTATGAAAATAACATTTTTGATTTTTTTTTCTTCTCAAAATGTTTTCCTAAGAAGAGAAATGACTTTTCAGTGGGTCTGTTTGTTGGTTAAAGATAGAATTGTGTTTGTAAGGATGAATTTGTGGTCTTTTTTATTAGAAATCAGATGGGATTGTTAAGAACAGCCTTGTTATAAAGAATATTCCCATCAAAATACTAAAAACATAACATCTGCATAGTATTTATTATTAACTGTAATTATTAAAGATGCTCTGTGTAGATCTTTTAATGGGACCTGTTATGCTCATTGTCAACTCCACATTTTTATTCAGTTCATCCACTCTTTGAAACAAGCCACTCTAGCTCCTCCCACTTTAAGCCATGCTTTCTTCTGATTGGCAGCCCCTCACAACCAGAAGGGTTGATGGGGCTACTGTGCTCAAAGTCAGAGCTGTCTGACTGAGGATATCTGCCCTCAGTGATGTCATACAGAGCCAAAAGATTTTTTTTAAAGTTAATTAGTTGTGCACATGCTGACTTCATTATCTCAAACTTCAATATAATTCAATATTAGCATCCACCATCTTATTAGTATATATGTATACGGGGTGAAAGGGAAATTAAATCTCAATTTTTAACATTCATCACAGTGTGAGTTCATTCCCACAGGGTGTAACCGTCTACATGGTGTTAGGGCTCAGAGTGAGTGTAACAGTCACTCACCAGTTCCACTACTCAGCATATGCCCCAGGGCAGCTGTGGCTACAACTGTAGCTTGCCTCCACCAGTGTGTGAATGTGAGAGTGAATGAATAGTGGTATTGTAAAGCGCTTTGGGTGCCTTGAAAAGCGCTATATAAATCCAATCCATCATTATTATCATTATTATTATCAACTTTGTCTGTTTTAAGTTTTCACTCACCGGAGGAGATCGAGCAGGCGAGCAACTACTGGGTTTCCCTGTAGTTGCAAAGGCAACTACAGGGAAACCCAACAGGACTTCCAACAAAAGACCTAAAAATAGCATCTGCACTGAAAATGATACAGAGGCATTCAAGGAGATGAGCTTAAACGTACAAGTTTTCATTTAGCTCGCCAATGGGATTAGTTTATCCCAACTGAAAAATAGTACATTACAAAGCATTTTTTCTTTGTGTTGCTTAGACTTAACATCGGTTTTAATGTTGCCCTGAGGAGACAGCATGAAGTTCAGTCTGTAGGTCTGTTAAGCAGAGCATCACGCTAAACTTTGGGTTAGCATCGTGATCCCGATCAATCCAGCAACTCATTCGTTTTATAGTCTAATATGAAGTTAAATGATCAAACTTACAAAGCTAAAGCAACTCCATATGTTACATCACGCATAATATTTTAGCCTAAATGCTTTGCTGCCTGCAGCAAACTTTAAAGACACGCCCACTCAGAACAACACCAAATTAACAGAAAAGCACAGACTAAAGCTGTACTTTCCTTCCTTCTGTGTTTCTTGATCGTGGTTAGTGATATTTTGTTTCCTTTTATAATACTTTCAAATTGGGACTATCCTATTATTCCCTCACCATACATTCGTTCACTTACATTCATGTTGTCATTGAAAGAATAGAAATAAGTAGAGTGAAATGATACCGAGTTCCATTTAATCTACAAAATAGCTGCAGTTAATCAAAAACATCAGTTTCATTCATGTAAAAAGATGTCACAAGAACACATAAGATTTCTTTGTAATACATTTCAATGACTTTCAGCATTTGAAGTTTACAGTTTATCATCTAACTCTTATTTCTGTGACACAGTTTGAATCTGAACAGATCAAACATTCCTTACAAATTTAGTGACCGACAGATGTTATTACAGAAATGTGGTTCAACAGTGAGAAAAAAAAAATCTCAATGTTATTTTGGAAAACAAACACATAACAAGACAAACTTTTAGTTAAAAGAAAGTTACTTTTTACACTTATGGTTGCGCTTTTAGCCAAAAGACTTCTAAATAATTTTTTCGACCTCTTGTCACATGGAGTCCCAGAGGTGAGGGAACAAAACGTTCTGCTTCAAAGAGGAGCGTGTATCACATGACCAGCGTGCACGAGCGCCCACTTGACTTTTTTTGTATTTTGGCACAGGTGTGGGATTGCAGGACTTTCAAATGTGACACAAACATCAAAGACTAATGCACAACGAGAACAAAAAACTTCATAGATTTTTAAATACACGGTAGGAGGTGAAGTGCTTGTCTCGAGTATGTTGGATGCCAACACCATCAGAGCATAAGATAATGACGTGCAGAGTGTTATCTTGCATAACATCGTATGAAAAAATGTAGAAAAGCTCCACTGAGTTTTAAAAACTGAGCAGAGATGAGTTAGCATAAACATCAGCTCCGGATGGTGTATTAGTTTTGGATCTTAAGAATGCTCCTCTTCTCCAGATCATTCATCTCTTTGAGAATCAAAGCAACGTTGTAACGAAGCTCCTGGAATTTAGACACAGGTACCTGGAAAAGACCACAGAACATTTAGCACACCCACAAAGTGTTCAGCATTAAAAATAAGCACACAGCCACATTCCACAGCTGCTTACTGTGTGTCTGAATGTCTAAAAATGCAAGAAATAGTCATTAAAGTCATTAAAAACCTGGATTTCTACCTAAAGGATGTAGATGGACTCCTTGCAAAATGCTGTGCTCTAATACTTAAGCCCAGAGTTTCATTTGCTGCCTCCCTAATTTCTGTCCCTGTCATCCCTGTGTTTAAGTCTCAAGCTGCGTGTGAGTCACCATCTGTTTGCAGCGGTCAGACTGCAAACAGACACAAGTGCTAATTAAGAAGAGTGTGCTGAAGAAGGAAGAAGTCATCTCGTCTGTTTGCTATTCATCCTCCCTTCACTTCCAGAGAAGCATGCGTCAGGTGGAGATGAGCTGCACCCATAAAGAAAAACTGCACATCGAATGTTGCTGCTGCTTATCTTCTAATTCTGCTGTAATCTGATTACGTAATCGCTGCACATCCGTAGTAGGCGTCCTCGTCCCTGCTTCTGCTCCGACCACACTGGTAGTCAGCTTTGAAAGCAGTTGTGGATTCTAGTTTGTCATTTTGAGGCTGATGCGGAGTATGGCGCCCCCTGCTGAATAAGACGTACTATAGCATTACACCGTGGCAGTGAGGCTGCCGCACATCCTGGTGGAGTGCATCTATTTATTCTTCATTTTTTTCCTGTTTTAAAACTGACACTTTTGCATTCATGTGAATGGATATCAGGCTTTTTTTTACTGTAGTTTTTTTTCTGTAAGCTGATAAAAGAAAAAAATAAGACTCAGAAATGCAACTGTTTTTTTTAGCATCTAACAAAACAATATTTGTAATAAGCACAAGCAAGCTGACTAGCACAGAAATAACACTGCAAACGTATCAGGGGCACTTGGTCAAGGACGGCTTGTAGGTTAGGCTGCCGTTAATAAACGTTACTTCCTCTGTAATCCTGTTATGCAATAACTGAAACAGACCTACATTAGCCCACTGGCTTACAACCAACATGTTTAACACTCTGCTGTGATAATCCAGGAATAACTATTACAGTGCACAACCATCATCAGTCATGTGGAGAAAAAAATCCATATGATGTTAACAGGTTTCTCAAAAGAAAATCATTCAATGGTTAGCTCATGAGAATGAACTCATTTCCAATGCATACTTTAAGTGTAGCTTTGCATGATTTACATTTAAAAGTAATCTTTATTTATCTGTGTACTAGGACTTTATGCAACCCAGTTCCCTTCCACTGTCTGGCACAGGGTCTCCCCCGTTTCAGGCCACCCTCTTGTTTAACTGATATTCTGGCTTCACCTTCATCCACCTTTAGCAGCAGGTGTGTGGGGCTGTTATGCTCACAGCCAGAACTGTGTCTGAGATGACCATATTAAGGATATCCTCGCTCACTGACATTAAGAGCCAACAGTTTTTACAAGGCTCTATGCAGGTCCTTGAAAAACTAAGTACATCCCATGATTCACCCTCGGGATTGCAACACCTTGACTCGTTTCTTTGTAGTTGTTCTGTTGGAGATTTGCTAATGCATAAGACATTTTCAGGAATTTAAAAGGTATTGTTAAATCCATCCATTTTCGTAAATACTTAAAGACAACCACTCATAATTATCCCTACAGCGAAATTAGTACTACCAATTAACCTAACAAGCATGTCAGTGCTAAGAGAGAATCCATGCAGGCACTTTGTCATGTTGGGAAGACAAAGAGGCGAGGAAACCGTCAACGTCTTCTGAACAACTATTACTTTCAACAAGACTCTTAAAAGCCAAAAGACCAAGAGAAAAACCCCTCTGAACTGTGGTTTTATGCACAGAAATTTGGCATGTAGATCTATACTGTGGTACTGGTATCGTCATTAAAAGTAAATAAAATGAGAATAAGAAGGGGACTGTGGGTCAGAATGTATTGTGTGTACAATCAGGAACAGGTTACTTGTTTAAATACCTCAAAGCGTTGAAACCTCCCATCTGAAAGTTTCATCTGCATGAGAACAGAAGGCTGCAGCGCTCGGGCTAAAGAGCTGTTTCGACACAGAAAAGCAAAAACATCATCTCAAAGTCTAAAGAGTAGGACTTTAAAATGAGTGCAGTAGAAACTTTTGTAATCTTTCACTAAACCCTTCTTCCTGACTTATTTCTATATTGCAAGTAAGAGACGGTGGTAAGAGATGGTATTGTTCCAGGAAAGCTTTAAAACACTGTGTTAGTAGGCAGTTAACCATTAACAAAGATTTCTTGCACATATTGCCATATTGTTTTTGCAGTTCGTTTAGTATGTTACCTTGTAGAAATGGCAACATCCACTCTCCATTTCAATTCTTCAAGTGTGGGGAGATGAGGATCCTTCTGAGAGGCGGCCGCTTCTAGAGCTGCACGGCTGAAAACACAAACAGCACAGGAAATAGAACCTGATTGTAGCACTGCTCTGAGATACCAATCCTGGACATGCCTGAGGTTGTAAAATCAACATACTGATTTCCAAAAACCACACTGGAGAAATCTGTGATGAAGTCTTCGGGTATTCTAATAAAAGAAGAAAAAACACAATAGAAATAACCTCTTCAGAATCTGGGGGGTGGGGTTGCAGAGATAATAAATGAAAACAAAGAGAGGTGTGGAAAAAAAATGATTCCCTCACCTTAGCTCCTTCAAATCTTCCTTAAAGATCTAATCAATGCCCCATCAGGCACCACAGAAGAGGAATGAAGATGTTAGTTAAGAAGTCTGTTTCAGTGAATATAATTTCCAGTGCTTTAGCATCAGCTCACCTCCTGTTTAAGTAACGCTGTGGGGATGCGGATGGCCTCAGACAGCAGTCTGTGGATCCCAGCTACGATGTGACAGAGCCTCTCCTGCGGGATGACACTGCTCTCTGCTATGGACTTCATCCCCTCTGTGCAGTCCTTTCCCTCCAGGGCACTGACCACAGCTGGACAGGGAATCATTCACAGTCACATTAAATGCACTTATCCGGCATCTTCAACTGCTAACACTTGGTCCGAATATCAGCAGAAGATCTTATCACGACATAAACATCCTGGGAGGCTGAGGAGGTCACAACTCTACTGTGGATACTGTTATTGGTCCAGTTTCACAATAAACTTCACCAAAAGGCGTTCAGTTTTATTGTTTCAGGGTACGTATTCGAATAGACACAATATAATACGATTATTTAGTTCTTGCTATTTCTTTCTGTTTTAGACTTTATTTACCTTTCAGTATTTTTCGGAACAACTCTTGGTCCACATCCTTCAAGTTTTTTGACAATGACTCGACTTCCGGTGGTATTCTGCCTCCCAGAAAGCTCAAAGAGTCCTTTGAATGGCTGGAAGACATGCCTTGGTGTTCACTAACATACAGAATTAACAGATAAAAAGATGAGAAATTGGTGTTAGAGAGGGGTTTGTCTAGCTAGTTTTGTATTTGTGCGACAGCTTCCGCCTTCATGTCACATGACTCTCATTCCGCGGAGTCTCGCGGTGAGAGCTTAGCTCATCGTTTAGAGGAAAACGGATTTGCAAATGGAGGCGATAGAAGTGGTCTCTTTTTGAACAACCAAAAGGTAGGATTTTTAATATCGATAGCTTCTTAGTTACAGCTTAGACCTGTTCACATAGCGTTCACACATGGCATTTGTTGGGAAATGGGAGTTTCAGATCGTTTTGTGTATTAGCAAACGCTACATAGATATTTCGGAGGATTAGCAGCAAGCTAAGGATGTTAGCTTGTGTTGTGATGTCAGAGGCTTATGCTCGCGTTTTCTAAACACGATACTGTTTATGTAAGTTCTACTCAAGCTAATGGAGCTGGCTTTATCAAAGCCTTTATATATGTGTGCGAGCGCGCGCGCTTTTAACGCGTGGGGTTATGTTTACCGTAACTTGAAGTATTCAGGCTGTTTACCAGTTACTTTGAGTCTAAGCTGTGCCAAATAACAGAGCCAGCAGTTGATTATGAGCTTTATTATTAGCACAGTTGCTAAGTAAAAAGCATTCATAGTAGGTAGCCTAACTAGTTTTTCCATTAAAGTAAATCGGTAGATGTTTCTTCTTACTGATGCTTGGACGAAAAACAGGTTTTCACCATTAGTGACTTTTTTTAGTATCTGAACAATCAGAGTTAGATTTATTGACCAAGTACATGTACACCTACAAGGGACAGGAGTCCGTTTTTTTTCTTTGATCCCAGTATAAACAGATTAGACATGCACAGTACAAACAATTAAAAAACGTGTGCAGTGGAGCAAATATGTTAGAATAAATTATATAATAATTTATTAACTCGAGAGATGAACCAGTATCACATCACAATTTGGCAAAGAAACAATTTTAAATTGTAGTCAAAGGAGCTTGCAAAGAAAAGCTCACCCGAAACTCTGGCTGATTGGGACCCACACCTTGGCTCAGACGATTAGAGGATCATCAGGGGGTCCTTTTGTCCCTCTGCGGGGGGTTACTCCCACTAGGTTTTAATCTGGGACTCCCCACCATTTGGCCTTAGAACTGAAGAAGCTTCTCGAATGAGAGGTGAAACGTCTTCAAGTAACTTAAAGAAGTCCAGACGCTTTTCTTTGCAAGCTCCTTTGACTACGATGACCTGGATGACTGAGAACCTTCACAGACAATTTTAAATTGTATCTTCAGGCACTTTGTTACTAGCAGCCTGTTACAAAAACATGAGCAGAACGCTAGTCAAAAACCTGACATATCTCACAGTGTTTTAAGTAGAGATGGCACGATACCACTTATTTTTTTATGTCCGATACCGATATCATAAATTTGGATATCTGATGATACCGATATGAATCCGATATAGTGTGCTTTTTAATCAATAAAGCAGTTTTTTAATATCTTGCTGCATTTTGTATGAGTTCATACTAAAGCTATTTTGTTATACCTGTATGCAAAAAATACACTGCACCCAAAATATTTCATAGTTCAGCAGTACTGATCAATTTAATAAACTTAAATCCTCCATCCTTCCTATTCTGGTATTTTAATGAGTACTTAGCAGAAATATTAAACAACCTAACTAACAGGGTTGCCAACTCCCAGCAAAAAGAAAAAGAAAAAAAAGAGATTTAATAGTTACTATATAAATAGTGGACTTCTATACATTTTACATCAGATTAACTTTGGGTGTAAGATTAAGATAATTATTTATTAAAAGCTAGACATTTAAAATGAGAATAAGAAAGAAAGGTATTTCTTTGTGCCCCCCTTTCCCATGATTCGTTGAAGACGTCATTAATAAAAATATGTTGATGCGGAATTTTATCGTCGACGTGTCATATGAGAAAATGATGTAAACGTGTTTTTGTAACTGCAATACACTACAGGAAGTTATGGGGGCAGTATCGCTTATATGGTCTGGCCAGACTGCACGCAATACTAACGAAGAAGAACGTAGCTGCGATCCGCAAAACAAGTTAGCTTACCTGTCGGAAGCTTCTAAGAATAATTCTTGTGAAGCCAACACCATTTCAGTTTTGTTAGCTAATGAGTAAAATACGATAATAAAACATTAAACAGGAGTAACTACACTGTCTCTTAGTTTATTAATATTAGCTGTTATTCTGAATTGTATACACCTTCCACCTTGTGTATTTTTGATAAATATCGAACCGTGACACCAAAGTATCGAATCGAACCGTGAATTTTGTGTATCGTTGCACCTAGGGCTGCTCAATTAATTGAATTTTAATCTCGATTACGATCTGGGCTTTCAACGATCAAATGACTGAGCCGATTATTAGCCCCTCCCTCGTGCTTTACTCTCACGCTGCTCCGTGTGGCAAATCGAGCGCACCTCTCTGCATTTCGAACACGTGTCACAACAATTAAGAGGACCCGAGGGAAGCTCGGTAAGCTAAGCAGAAGTTGTCTGTGAAGGTTCTCAGTCATCCAGGTCATCATAGTCAAAGGAGCTTGCAAAGAAAAGCGTCTGGACTTCTTTAAGTTACTTGAAGACGTTTCACCTCTCATCCGAGAAGCTTCTTCAGTTCTAAGGTCAAATGGTGGAGAGTCCCAGATATAAACCTAGTGGGAGTATCCCCCCCACAGAGGGACAAAAGGACCCCCTGATGATCCTCTAATCGCCTGAGCCAAGGCGATTAGTGGCAGAAGCAGAAGTTATTTGGAGTTATTTGGAGAGTGACTGCCGTTGTTTGAAAAGAGAGGTAAAAAAAAACTTCAGTGGTGTGGAAACATTATGGGTTCGTGGAGTCTGACGTGGATCAAGTAGACATAGAGTATAAACTTTGCTACAGTGTCGTAGCTGCACCACAGAGCAACAAAGCAAAGTTCACTAAACATAGATGTTTACATTTTTCATTTATTTTTTATATTGCAAACATTTGCACTGTTATCAGTATTTGCACACTATTTTATATTATTTTTTGACAATCTTTAAAGTCATTATTCAATACATTGTTATTGTTAAATAAATATTGTCAAATAATCGAGATCTCAATTTCAGTGAAAATAATCGTGGTTATCATTTTTGCCATACTCGAGCAGCCCTAGTTGCATCCCTAATAAACAGTGGCATCAACAGTTGTGTTCACAAACAAGCCTTATGAAGGTTAACACATGTACAGTCCAGCATAACGACCTTGCATAATGTATTTATTTGAAGGTGTATTGAAACATAGCCCTGCCTATTTATTACCCTCCTCCTTTATTTCAGATACAGATTTACCATGTCTGAATCTTTGTATGAGAAGTTTTTGGCCCCGGAGGAGCCTTTCCCTCTCCTCTCCCAAAGGGCCAACCTGAGTGATGTGGGAACTCTGGATGTCAGCGATTTTGGCTGTCAGCTATCATCGTGTCATCGAACGGATCCTCTGCATCGCTTTCACAGTAACAGGCAAGTACAGAATGACTGTATTTGTGTTTGTACATGTATCTACTGTGCCTGTATACCCCTATTTTGGAGCTCTGTAGTGGTGTGGAGCCTACAGTGCTGAGGATACAGACCTGAATGACATCCCTGTTGCCTTTAACACTCTTGAGTTCAATTCGATTCAGTTTTATTTATACAACACCAAATCACAACAACAGTCCCCTCAAAGTGCTGCTACTGTAAAGTGTCTATTGTTAGCCCTCTATCTGTGTAAGAATAGGAAATTCTAAGTGGCTTGCTAAGCTAGCAGCCAGTCTTGTTGCTGGGGGACTGGAGGAATCCCAGCAGTGAGAGGTTTCAGATTTTCACAGCTCATATTTACACCTCAGTTTGTTTGTTTTTTAAAACTACAAAAACCCTTAAAGAGTAGACACAGGATCCTTAATGTTACTGTGTAACAATGATGGGATTTCAGTAGAGTTTGGTAAATTACCACTCTTGGTGGTGCAAATTAATCCTTGGCTGATAGATAAAGTATCTGTTAGTTGTCGCTCTTTTGGGACTATCCAGATTCTTTTCTAAAGGAAGTAAATGCATCAGATAAACTCTGTGTGCCACAGATGTGCATGAGTGGTATGCCCTGTAAATGCAGAAGAACTTTAAATTGGAACATCCTGTTGCCTGTTTCCAGTCTGCTTGGCAAATTGGAAGAGTTTTGTAACCGTATGTGGAAAGTTACAGATTATACTCCTCTGCAGCCAAAATGCTTCCACATAAATGCAGTCAAACTTGACTCATTTACTAATGCTAAACTTGTTTAAATTATTCTAATTGTTTAATTTGGAGTAGCTGCTAATTTTCTGACAGCACCTCTGCATAAACTACAGAGTTCACATATTTTTTATGAAATTTGCTGATATGAAGCATAAAATGCAATTTTCATATGATGTTCTCTTGGATTAGACACATTCCCAGTAACAGGAATTCTATAATGCTGCAAAGTAAAGTTAAATCTTTTTTATGCATATTAAAAATTCACACAAGTAATATATTTTTTTAAATTTGCATTTCATTCACAATATGCCATTGAAAGTACTGTGACTCATAATGTGCACCAGTAAAATGTGTATAACCTAGGGCTGGGCGATATGACCCAAAATTCATATCTCGATATTTTTTAGCTGGATGGCGATATAAGATATATATCTCAATTTTTTTTTTTAAAGCCATAAGTTAAGAACAAAAAGAGAGTTCTTAGTCACACTGTGTCCCAGATGTCACACGGGCACTTTTATTTACATACAGCGTAGATATTACTCAAAAATAAATTATCAGCATTTATTAAATAATCATGGTCCATAAATAAAAGAAAACAATGTTGTTTTTGTGCATAACAAAAAGCTCACAATTGTGCAGTCAAAATGTAAACTAATAGACGCTGAGCATAATAACAAAGAGACAGATTTCACAGCTGCACCACGTCTCTGAACAGGTGCCATTTGTGGTCCTTATACACACACAGTACGTATCACTCCGCGAGGCTCCTCCCCGGTAGCCGTAATCCTCCGACAATCCATCAAGCGGTGCAGCTCCGTAGTTTAGCAAAGTCATATTAAAACATTTTTTGACAGATTGCTGAGCGCTGTGTACCACATAAAATCGGTTCGCGGTCAGTAAGCATAACCAGAATTCATACATAAGGCGCACTGTCGATTTTTGAGAAAAGGAAAGGATTTTAGGCCGTGCAGCCCCTCCGGGCTGCATGTCGTTAGCGCGGTTAGCTCGTTAGTGCGGTTAGCTCGCTAACATGTTGACGCCGTCCAGCCCCACGCACGGTAACTCGCTAACGGAGATTTTCCGCTTTCATCTTGTCATTGCCTGCAGGTGAAGCTATGGGGGAGGAGGGGGAGTTGTGTTCAGTGAAGGAGAGGCGAGGCCGAGTAACGTTGCGTAGAGACAAAAGTGGACGAAAGAGAGGCAAACCTGCGGCTCCACAAGTATAATTATAACGTAACAAAGACTATATCGATATAAACGATATTGTCACATCTTATATCTCGTATGAAAATATATCGATATTTTAAAAAAAAAAAACTCGATATGTCGCCCAGCCCTAGTATAACCTTTACATTTCCTCTACTGCTGTCCTGAATTGTTAAATGATGGAATAAGTCAATAGTCAGACATGTAGACATGTCTTAAAAGCAGAATGTCTACATATCATGACCTGTGCTCCATGTCAAAACTGATTCATGTGTTAGTGTGTTCTAGTACTAAAGTTGGAAAAGCACGAAAAACAGGGTACTTGTAATTTTTTTGTGCTTAAGAACACAGCAGCAGCACGTTCATTGCTCTTTGTATGGTTTATTTAGTGAGTCGCAAATGCACAACAGTGACGAGACACATCTAAAGTTTTACTGCTGTCCACTGCTTGGATGGTTAGTTCGGGGCTGGTGGGGCTGCTTTGAATTTCACGTTAAGTCTTCTCTATAATGAAGAAAGGTGAAATATCATATGAAGTGACCATAAACAGATGAAAAGACATAAGCTAACAGTTCATGATTAAAACTTATGTTAACAGTGTGCATAGGTATAAAATGTTAAACATAAATATCTTGGAAATTGTAGCCAATCAATTATTTGAACTGTCATATTAGGATTTAGCAAATTAAACACAAACATAAGAAATAAAAGTGTTTTATCTCCAAATCAGACAGTAGCTGAAACATTGTTGCCAAGTGTTACAGCCTGAAACTGTGCAAAATAGTTTAATTATCACCTAGCAGTGGCTGCCAAGTGAACAACTGTTGGAGCAACGTTTTATTATCTTAATTTGAAGGCACAGACGAACAAAGGTCCAGCTGTTCTGTAATCCTCCCCAAATCCTTCATCTGTGCTTTTCTTTTACCTTACTGGTCTAAAAAGAGAGAAGAGAACAACTTCTAGAAGTCACTTAAAAGATTAATTTTGATGTCCACTCTGTTCTCCTCAGGTGGAACCTTACTTCCTGTGGTACCAGTGTTGCCAGCTCTGAGTGTAGCGAGGAGCTCTTCTCCTCCGTCTCTGTGGGGGATCAAGACGACTGCTACTCCCTTCTGGACGACCAAGAACTCACATCGCTGGATTTGTTTCCTGAAGGCAGTGTTTGCAGTGACGTCTCCTCCTCTATCAGCACATACTGGGACTGGTCTGACAGTGAATTTGAGTGGCAGGTAGCTTATTAGTCGGTCTGATTTTTAATATTCTGTAGGTGCTCATGTTTAGTAGGAGTTGTAAGTCATTTGAACTTGTTGCTTTATCTGTATGAATGTGCAAAATGGCTTTCCTAAACAATCCTATCTTGTCATGTCCTAATCTAATTGTTTCCATTGTTGTTTTCCCAGTTACCAGGAAGTGACATTGCAAGTGGCAGTGATGTCCTCTCTGACATAATTCCAAGTGTGCCAAGTTCACCATGTTTGTTTTCCAAGAGGAAGCCGAAGCCCCACCCTCATCGCAACCTGGATGAGCTGCCTTGGAGTGCCATGACCAACGATGAACAAGTAAACAAAACAAGCTCGTTTTGTGCTGAGTGCTCAGAATTAGCATTAAAGCTAATGAGCCAGGTGTTTTCTGTCTTGCGTGGTTTTGTTTGTTGCAGTGTGTCGTCTATTATTTTTTCATTTGTTTGTCTATTTTTTTTACCTGTAATACATTTCGATATACAGTCAGTTGAACTGGTGTGTTATTCCCCCAACCGGTCGTGCAGATGGCCCCGCCCCTCCCTGAGCCTGGTTCTGCTGAAGGTTTCTTCCTGTTAAAAGGGAGTTTTTCCTTCTCACTGTTGCCAAAGCGCTTGCTCATGCAGAGTCGTATGATAGTTGGGGTTTTCTTTGTATTATTGTAGCATCTTTACCTTACAATGTAAAGTGCCTTGAAGCAGCCATCGTTGTGATTTGATGCCATTTAAATAGAGCTGAATTGAATTGAATTTCCACTTCTAGGTGGAGTACATTGAGTATCTGAGCCGGAAGGTCAGCACAGAGATGGGCCTGAGAGAGCAGCTCGACATCATCAAGATCATTGACCCCTGTGCTCAGATCTCTCCCACTGACAGCGAGTTCATCATCGAGCTCAACTGTCTCACCGATGAGAAGCTCAAACAGGTGAGCAGCAACAACAGCTTTGTAGCTGCTGCATATTGAGGAGCAGCGCTGTCGAGAGTTGTTCAGAAACTCCCCTTTTAATGGATCTGTGTGACGTCATTAGGTGCGTAACTACATCAGGGAGCACAGCCCCAGGCAGCGAGCCAGCAGCACCAGGGAGGGCTGGAAGAGGAGCAGCCACAGCAGTGCCAGTACAGGCGGCGTCAGCGGAGCCAGCAGCAGTAACGCCAGCATGGTCAGCTCTGCCAGCTCCTCCACTGGATCTACTGCCTCCAACTCTGTAGCAGGTACGATGCTGCCTGGTTTGACACCGCCACAGGAGTCTGTGCCTATGTTGGTACTTCCAGCTTTTGCCAAGATAAAATTGCTCCCCTGCATTCTGGTCTTGATGTTTCTAACAGTGTCTGTGCCTTGTGTTCCAGGGGGTACAGCCTCTGCCTGTAGTGGGAGCAGTGTTGCTAATATTAGCAGAGCTCACAGTGATGGAAATCTTTCCAGTGCTGCAGAACGCATACGAGACTCTAAAGTAAGAAAGATGAATGTTGAAAAATGAAAAACAGTTTTTGTTTTCTTGGTAAATATTTTGCTCTGCAGAGTCCGGGCCAGTGGTTATAATAAATATCTCTGAAACACTGGAAGAACAGTTGCAGATCTTGATTGTTCTATACAGAAGGACATTTGGCGTCGTGTTAATAATTGTTACACATTTTCTGCCCTTGAAACTTGAGTGAGAGTTTTCTATAGACGAACGCTTGCTTGGAAGCCTTTCTTGGACTTATAACAGATGACCAAGTTGTTATCAGCTCCAGTCTCCATCTTCTCTTTCCTCCGTCTGTCTCTCCTGGCGAGCTGCATGCACCGCTCCTCCCCTCACCCTCACACTGTGGTGTAGCAGCAGAGGAGACTGTGTGACTGTAATACCTGAGCGCAGAGGTGGGCAATTAATTTACCCAAGGGCCCACGTGAGAAACTGGGACTCTTGTGGAGGATCACTACAGGCGTATGAGTGTGGAGACTCTCATTGAATCTAAGGAAGTGAGGACTGTGGTTGGTGTGATTACGAGAAACCACTCAGCATTTCAGAACTAGACTTTTTTTTCTTTTCATGAACTTTGTCAGACAGCAGAGTTTACATTTCTTTAAACTGCTGTTAATTGCGACTTTAAATATTGACATCCACTGTGATCTAAAATGATTATGATCTAATGTGAACTGCTGAGGAAAAATAATTGATTCAGTGATTTAATCAGTTTGGTGAACTTTGCTGTGCTGTGTTAGAATAGAGCTCATCGCTTGTGTGATCTTTGATTGTTTTTTCTTCAGACACAAACACAGGAAGTCTCAGAGTGCAGTCTGAGTGTAATCAGGGGGCAGCATGATGGAGATCACACAGTAAAGAGAGAATAGATTCTCAATGGTTAGATTTTAGCCTGGATCAGCTGTAAGTTGGCTCGTTAGGATCTGTTAAGTCACAAGATGTAGGAAAGCATCACAAGACCAACAAGAATGTCTTTGCAGCCTTGTCTCTAAGCTTTGATCCTGAGGTGAATTGTGTGTTTTGTCTTGCGTTGTGTAACTGATAATATTTTCCAGTGCCAGTTCTGTTGCTATACTATGATTCCCACAGTTGTTCTCAACCAAAGAAAGTCTCAGTTCAGATCATTGGTATGTGCTTTGTCTTTAGCTTAAATATCTTTTTCATTGTTTGTGGAGTACACGTGAGCCCTTTCAGGATTAACAAATTGTAGAATAAGGTTCAGTTAACAAGAAAACTATTTGTAAACTGCAATCATAAAACAGAAATCAGCCTTTTTTGGGGACATATGAGAGAGCAGGTTGTAGCTGACAGATGGTGGAGCTGGTGAAGCAGTGGCTGGATGTTCACAACAACAGCTGTGAGAATGTGCTTACACAGTTTTAGATGAAATGCTCTGATGGATTGTTGAGCTGTGAAATGCAAATTACTGAAAGGGTTGAAGTTGACTTGTATTCCTTTCTACAAAATGCTGTCACACTGCTGACGTCTGCTCATATCAGAGCATTTAGACCCACGATTTATTTATTGTTATTATTAACTCCTCTCTCCACACACCGTCTCTTCCAGAAACGTTCAAAGCAGCGAAAGCTTCAGCAGAAAGCCCTCCGCAAGCGACAGCTCAAAGAGCAGCGGCAGGCCCGAAAGGAGCGACTGAGCGGGCTGTTTCTGAACGAGGAGGTGCTGTCGCTACGGGTGACAGAGGAGGACGATCACGGAGACGACCTGGACATACTGATGTGACACCAGTGAATCAATCAGTGCTCCCTCTACGCCTGCTTTCACTCCACCTAGTCACTAGCATAGAGCTTATAGAACGTGCTAATCCACATCGCTGCATGCGTTAGCTCCGCATATGCTAACATGCTTAGAATGCTTTTTGTAAGAACAATGTGATGGCCAGTAATAGCTTCTTGCAGCATATAACTTAGCTCGACATATTGTTTGCTAATACTAGTGTTACCTGCTGGTGTGTAAATTGCTAAGTGCTGCAGTCACTACTGCTCTAGTTAATGTAGCAGTGATAAAGCACTGCTAATGCTTTAATAGCCACAGTCTCTCCTGCTTACAGCCAGAGGTTAGCGCTGCAGCTCCTTAGAAGATTGCAATTGAATTCACACTACTAATGATGATTATGGCATCTTAATGCAGGTAATAAGAGGTTTGCTTATAGATGCTGTAAGAGGATATATTCACTACTACCTGGCAGAAGGACAGATCAGACGAGAGAGGTGGACTTTGGCTACATTTGCTTCAGTGGGAGCGATGGCAAAGGCTTTATTCCCCACAGGGAGCTGGATCCAAGCTTTGGAGGATGATGTAATTTGATCTGCATACAAATATGTTCATAATCAGCAGGATGAATTGGTCTCGTCAGATTTAAAGTGCTCATACTTTTCTCCTTAACAGCCTCCTTTGAAGCTAATGTTAAAGTTAGCCATGTATGCGACACATTCTTTCACTTTTAAGTTCCTCTTAAATAGAAATATGGCCCAAATCCTGGAACAGCTGCAGTCTTGTGTGAAATAAGTCAGATATGTTTGCTACTGGAACATCAGGATTTTCAGCAGTGCTCAGCTGAACGATTCGGCTGGTTCACATTAGACTTGAATGTGCTCGATGGATTTTTTTTTGGTTGTATTTAATGCTGCTTGGTGGAGCATTATATCGTTGTGTAACTGGAGTGAAGATTGGACTATAAACTAATCCTTTAAGGCAGCTGAGCAGCATTTTTCCTGGACTTTGATCTTTTATAGGTTTGAATAAAAGAAGGCAGATAACAGGCTAAAAGACGCAGAGATCCTTTAAGCATATTATGGGCAGTTTAACATGTCTGTAAACTTACTGTAAATATAATCCCTCTCACACTGTGTCGACACATTCTTGATGCTGAATGAACTGCACATCGATGCACCCATTGTTGCCTTTAGGGGAAAACATGAATCCAAACTACGATGGTTTAGGTGTGGAAAATGCAGCGAGCTGGTCTGTCTTTCTCTCTGCTGAGCTTTGTGGTCCCATTTCACTTTTAAGGCTTAGAGGGAGCACTGAAACACTGCATGTTTCAATCGTTACCCACAGCGAATCCCCGTGTGGACCAGAAACTAACAACTTGCATCATCGTTCGCAAACACCTGTTGAAATAGCTTACCTGTGTTGTAAATAAGCGATCGGTACCATCATATTTACTGCTTGTTTTCAAGGTTTCCTCTGTGATAACGTTTCTTTCCTTTTGGGAGTGTATGTAAATGATGGACATGGCAAACTAACTGGTCATTGGGGCTTGAATGCGTTGCTAGGTTGCTGCCGATCCCTTCAGATATTTTCAGTCATATTTTGATGTGTTTTGTTGTTTTCATCACTTTTATTTGGTCTGTTTTTTTGTTTTCTTGAACTCCTACTTGAATGTTTGACCCTCATTGTTTGTTTGAGTGATTTTGGGAATTGTGGACGTTTTATAGGGTTTTAAAGACCACACTTTGCTCAGTGGCTGGTATGGTTTTGGAGCTATTCTTCAGCTTCTTATTTGAGCCGTCAACGTCGTTTCCAGAGATGTGCTCACTTTGCTCTGAAGATTCAAATCCCAGACAAAGTGCTGATGAAGCAGGACAGCGTTCTGTGGAACTACCGGGATGTTTTCGTTTTGCTCAGTTTTTTCTTGTTAACTTGTAGAAAAGATTTTTTTTTCCACAGCTTCTCTGCTGTAACCTGATGAACCACTACAACTGTCGGCCTAAAAGCTGCTGTTTCTGATACTTGATGTGGACTGAGCCGTGGCTCTTGTTTCTGTCTTGTGTATAAAATAATTACAGCAGTCGGAGGAAAAACAGCTTTGTGTATTCTGTAGCAATGAATTAGTAAAACTCTATTTTGAAAAATGACATAATTTTGAAATAAAAATAAAATAAGTGATGCAACAGAGTAACTTCAGCAGATAAAATGCCATTAACTGCTGAAAATGAATGATATTAAACTTACAAACCTACACAGGATGTTTTGAAAGGGAAGCCCACTGTGGAGGTGTTATATTATATTACGCAAGTGAAAATGTTTTCATTGGCTACTAAAGCAAAGAGTGGATTTACATGCGTTAACTCCTGATTAACAAATGATTCTGGAACAGTGTTGTGTTTGAATAACAGGGTTGAAGGGAGACTGAGCAGTTCACTCGACGCTTCCTGTTTATTGTGAACTCGACAAATAAACATTCAGTGTTGCATCTTTTCTACACGTGTGCTTATTTTGACTTGCAACTTCTGTAGAGGAGAGCATGACTCATTAAGTTATTCATCAGTTTGCAAATTCCAAGCACTTTTTATTGAGCGCTAAATCACTGTGATTTTTATTTTCCACAATAATTAACAAAGGAAAGAACACTTTGGCTTTTCACAGCTCATCAGCTGCTCCTTTGTGTAGTAAGTTCAGGGTGGAGATTGAGATCTTTTGGAGGGAATCCCATCAAGAAGAGGGATCAATGGACTTCCCTGTTTTGCCCGGCCCCAGAGCTCACTGGAGGAAAACCTCTGCATTAAATTTTAGTGCATATAAATACCTTTTAATTAGGTTATTCCAAATAAACAAAATTTCATTATTCTGATCATGGTACAAAGTCAACCTATGAAAAGTTAAAAATGAAAACTAGTGTCTTTCAAATATTGTACGCTCAGACTGGATTTCATACAAGCAACAAATTTTTTACCCCTCAGCCATGAAAGGCTCATGTTGTCACTCCGCCGGTGAGGTGGGTGTGTGGGAGGCGTGGACACTTAAGTTTGTGATAAATTGCAAATGAGGCGTTTCAAATTAATACCATACATGTATCTACTAAAAAAAACAAAAAAACTCCAATGACTTCAAATGTCAGTGATGTCAGGTCAAGGTCAGAGGTCAGGTTTTCTGAAGATGCCAATGCGACGTCACATACATTCTGTCTGTGAAGTAGTCAGACTCGAACGTCAAGGAAGGTGGTAGGGAAGCAGACTATGCAGACATTTCAGGTTTCCAAGGTAGCAATTTACATACAGTGAACTTAATTTAATGTAACTTAACAAAACTTCCTCCCCAAATAAACTCTATTAACAAACTGCAACATAACATGGCTCTGGTAACACAGCTCACCTCTCCTGCATCTGGTAGAGACTGGCTTTAAATAGGGCCATCAATTTCCCTCCAATTGCCCAGCCAGTACCACTCACTCAACTGAGGGATCTAAAACTACACAGATGATCTAAAAACACAAAACCTCTACACACTTCTAACATGCACATTTACACAACTAAATGGCAGTATTAACGAAAGGAAAAACAAATCCCTTTAAACCATAACACAAACAAAAGGAAGCATCTCTATGGAAAAAGAAACCCCTCCACTTGGTTTGACCTGCTGATGTCATATGTGACATCATCAGGACTTTAAAATGAGGAAATGCCAGGCAGGCGTTTCCCCACACCTGACCCTCATGAAGACTGAAAAGACAAGCAAAGTAAGTATGAACAAATGACTTAATCTGTAACATAATAAAATATAAAGAAACATGTAACTGAGTATTTAGCTTAATTTGCAGAATGTTTGATTTGCCGGCAACAAAACGCTTACACAAACAAACCCGGGATAGTGAGTGAAGCAATGTTACTTGACAAATGGCAAAACATAGTAAATACATAGAAACGGAATAATGTGTACAATGTGTACAATGTGCAAAAAAAAAAAAAGGTAAACACATATGGGACAAATGGAGAGCATTGCAACTGCTCCTCCACTTTGTCACACTGTCATCTACAGATCCGTATGCCCTAAAGTGCTTTTATGCTGATTGAGCCATGTTTATGATGCTAAAATGAAATTTTACTAAGTTGGTGCCGTGCAGCAGATTGGTGTAATTACAAATGGATAACTGATTTTACATGATTCGGTTAGATTTTATACATGTGAGACATATTAATCATCCCAGTTTACTTTGCATTTGTTTAACTCACTTAATGCTGCTGAGCAGCTTTTTCCAGAGGCTGAACAGGTCTGCTAACATTGTTGCCATTGTTATTTGTCAGTCTGTATATCCTCAGTTCTTTTCCTTGCCTCCCCTCCGGCCAGTCTGAGTCTCTCCCACCAAAGATAGGAGCAGAGGAGGTGAGGAAGGAGGTCGGTCAGCATCACTGTAGTGATGAGAGATGTTTACTTTGGAGCCTCATTTCAACGCGGTGTCAGTTAAAAGAAGTGCGGCACCTGGTATCTCTCATTGTTCCTTTTGAAAAGTTTACCATTCTGTAAAATGGAACGATATCCATTGGATTTTTGCCACACTTTCAAACGGTGAAGACCAGAAAGTTGGATCACGATCCTGATCTTTTTGCTTTTTGTTTCCCTCTATACAGCAAAGGTAACAACCACTACAGAAACATACACCTGTGTGTCTCTTCTGTCCTCCAGATATATTTTATGAAACAAGACATTCTGAAAGATGGCAAACTGACATACTTATTTGGTCTCAAGCTTCAGAAAAGAGAGAAGGCAGGGCTGAAAAAATAAAAAACCCAACCTGTGACATCACTAGGGATGGGTATCATTTAGGTTTTATCCGATACCGGTGCCAAATCGGTATTTTTGAAACGGTGCCGGTGCTTAAACGGTGCTCAAACCAGTGCTTAAAGAATGGAGAAAACAAAATTGGTCCAAAAAACCTCTCATGTTCAGCTGTTTTTTGTAAAAAGATAACAATGTTAGCCTTTTCTGCAGCTATGGGACATATATGGTATCACTCTTGGCTGGAAGC